CACAGACATACGAAGTGACCGTGTTATGCCGGCCCCGTTATTAATGCACTATCCACTGAAGTCATATTTTTTGATCCAACGATTTCGCTTTCTTTGCCACCTTTGTCTATTCTGCACCATGGCTTCCACTATTTCACTCAAAATGGGTCCTTCAAATCAATCCCTTGAGATGAGATGAGAATCAATTGAGAGATGCATCCCTGCATTCGACTGAGAGAGGCCAGAGCGGAGGTGGTGTAGTGGCAAGTGACGCACTATCACACATGCATGGTCACGGGTTCCAATCCCTGATCGACACTCGCCTAGGCCAAAAAAGCCTTCTATTCTTGCGAATTCGACTAGGAGGGCGTTGTATGAGCCACGTACTCATTCAATGCAATACTACGATTCGGAGCCGAAGTCGAATGCGGGGGCGCAGCTCTACATGGAACTGGTTAACCTCCCCCGGATTTCCCTCTCACGAGATTGATTATATTGAAAGAAATCATCCTTTTAAATAAACCGTGTGAAAATTCTCATTTTCAGTGTCTTTACTCGTGAAACTACAGAAAGGTTCTTACCCGCGCTACAGTTTATATACTAGACAAAAGCTAGAAGTACATAGAAGTGTTCGTACTGAAGCCCGAGAAAAAGGAGACATTTCATAGAGAAAAGGAATGATCTGCATGATATTACCCTTCCTATTCCTACGTTTATCGGTGAAAATAAGCTAAGGCTCAAATGATACCATATCTGAGAGAGCACCAAATTTAAATAAGTTTTGAAACCCATGGTGAGGTTCATTTCTAGAAATAAGTGAGCAGCATACGGTAATCGTTTTTGCCCAGTTAGTGCGAATGCCCCTAGAGTATACTTCATTTATACTTCTTAACATAGCTTTTTAGAAAAAGAGAAGAAAATGATTGGAAAGGAAAATGTGAGTCCCTTCAAAAGTTTCAATGAGTTCGCTATTCAAAGTTTCTTGAGAGAGATAAAAATAAGCTGCAATTAAAAAACGCCCTAATTTTTTTTGCCCAACAAGTCTCCGGGGCATAAATGGTTGATAGGATTCCCATTTGAAGTGACCTTCCATCACCTTAGGTAGGGGCTTTGTCCTTATTCCTTTCATGGGCCTTCTGCCCCTCCCCGTCTTGAATATGGTATCGAATTTCCAAGTTGCTCTAGTCTTTTCGAACAGAGTTGCTGGGCCATAAAGTCTTGGCTAGTTCAATTTATATCCATTACTAAGTATAAATATGTGAATAAGCAAATAATACAGAAGTTGTTTTAAAGGATGTCTGCATAAAGCTCGTTGAATATTCGAAGAATGGCCGTGTGTTCAGAAAATGGTCCTATGAACGGTTAGGTGAAAGGGTGAAGGGCACCAAATGGCAGGAACCCACTTGCCCGTGCGATAAGGTACGTGATTGTGACATCATTACTTAAATGATTCTGCTTGAATGAGGGTTCACTATAGGATGATGGCACTACAGTGGAAAATGAACTCAACGAGAAGGACCACGAACACGATAGGTTCGATTAAATCGAATACGATAATAACCTTCCGATGTCTAACCAGTGGTTCGCTGCCGAAATGTGGTTATGTTCCGATTAGGGTAAACAGGTCTGTTTATTTCCAGGCCCTCGTCTGGTTCTCCATTGGCCCGATCACTGAAGCAGCAACGAGTAGTGAGGCAAGAAAGAGACATGGAAAAAGAAGAAGAAGCCATAACAAACATCCTTAAAATGCAAGCGGAAATGGAGAGGAAAAGGGAAATGAACACTGATAAACAGAAATTTGAGCAGCGATTTGACCAGTTTGACAAGCGAAACAAAGGGGATGCCTACAACGAAATTAGTTATCAGCCAACTAGAAAGGATATCAAAGTACGGAGGAGCAGGACCTCTGAGACCTCCATGGGTGGCGACCAGCCGGTGACGTGGGAAGAATCGTGTGATTTGAAGATCGAGAGACACTCTGATCAGGAGGANTAACATTACTTACATTTCAGCATTTAGTAATTCATCGACGTCATCGGAAGACTCATTCGAAACCCCATAACGTTCATGATAAGGTGGTTTTTTATCTTGCCAGCGACTTTGAGCCGGTCAAACTGGGGTTGGAGTCTTCGTGGACAGAACCACGACATCCATAGGGGGCGATAAGAACCCGTACAAGGCGGATTTCGTTCACGTCTGCATTTCCACAACTCTATTATGAACCCGGTTTTCAGGATCCGACCGGGCGTTCCTTGCCGAAGTAAAGGCTACAAGAAAGTGGTCTCTATACTTTATTACTTGATCTCAAATGTCTAACTGTTCTCGTTTCACTAAAATGACAGCATATGTGGTAGAAATTGCGAACTTGTATGACGTAAATAAAAGATATATTGGTACATAGTTTAACTTCGCAGATTTCTCCTTTCATTCATGGTTTCAAGCCGCCACCTAGGGCCTACCGTTTTGACTCATGATGAATTTAGAGGGATTTATATTATCTTCTTGAAGTGTTAATGGGAGTACGCAGCAAAGCTTTTCATCCAGTTTGCACCCAAAGCCGCTTCATGAGACTTCAGTGAAGTTTCAGGCACAGAACACGACTTTAGGTACTCTCTTGGACTTGCAAAGCGAAAGTGTTGGTGGAGGAGAATAGGGTATAGGTAGCGGAGAAAGCGAAAAGACCCGCCGATTTCGCGAAAAATGAATACCTCCAAAAGTGATGTAAATAGTGGCCTTACGAGATTATCACGACAAAAATGGCTCGGAAGGGGTACTTGGACGAGATTTTAGTTGCTGCAATTGCGAGCTGATTTTATTGAGCTGAAAATTCCTGAAACGGCCTTCCACTGTTGCCATGGGTCGTGGTTTGAATTTCCAACTTGGATGCTCCTATGAGTGGTGCAGCTTCTATAAAACCGTTAAGTCGTTCACCTTTGGGTGTCATACAACCGATACAATCTTTGGGCTCTTATAACGCCCTATCTGAGCAGTTTTTCGGACTATGTGCGACACATCTGGTATATGGGGACGCCACAGATTCATTTTATGGCGATGAATCAGATATCCTTCTGACGTGATGAACTGCTCTTTTTACTAAAATACTGTACTATAGTTACATGATTCTGATTTTTGTTCTTAGAGAAGTAGCAGTAAGATGACGTGGGGCAGTCAGCTGACTAATCTATGGTTGATGTAATCTAAACTGGGAAAAGGCACATTTCCCCAACCCTCATGAACATGATAACTTTAAACGACCCCTGCTCAACGAAAATCGCGCACCACCATCAACGACAACACGAACTTTCAAAAATACCTTGCTGAAAATGAATTCTATTAGAACGCTTCACCCCCCTCCCCCCTCCCAACCCTTTACCTCCCACGGAGCTCTGTAAGATTTATGGTTTCATTAGGGAATTCGTTCACTTTCATCGAAATCATTTGATGTGCAGCAACTGCAAGCAAGCAGCGGATCTTGCACTTAACGCGAATCTAGCTCTGTTATCATTTGAAGCTGTGAGTTACTTACTAGGCTCGTTAGAATGAGCAAAACTTTGATCTTTGAGTCAGTCTGCTTCAGCAGGCTTTAGGTAGACTCATAAACACACTCAGATAAGGTAATTACAGTCCCCTTGAGAGTTTCCGGTAGCTCATTGGTGTTTACGTTTGGTGGCACAGACTTTCCCGTAACTTTTTTGAAAATCTCCCTTGTGAAAGCAACAGTAATAGTGGCTAAGTTTGGTTTCTCATTATGAAGTTATGCACGAACTCAACGTGGGAAGTCTCGGGCACGAGCTCCCACGAGTTAGACCGTTTTTTTGATCTTTAGACCTTTCACCACTAATCATTTATCTCAACTGCACATTACTACATTGGTTCTCTGTTACTATGCCATCACCTACGCCAGGAATTAAAATTTATATGCATAACTACTCGGCCAAATTGAGGCTACCAGTACGACCCTTGAATTTCACGCGTTTTGCTTTTACTCCTTTATTTTTCTTGAAATTTTCTTCGAATGGAAATTAGCAGTTAACTATTTCACTGCCTAACAACCCCCCTCCGTCTGTTGACTACTCTTGACTGCAAAAAACTGAATAGGAGCAATGAGAGCTAATTAGGTTACTGCGAGTCATTCCTCTTCAGTAGAGGGGTCTAGGATTAACCCTGACGCAGCTTGATAGTTCCAGAAACTTCCAGGGTCTCTCTATATGCATGAATCCCAACTATTGTGGCGTATCAGTTACCACAACTCTCAAGATCTTTTACTTATAAATTCTGCAAGTACTCTAATACATCGAAAGGATTACTCTCTTTTGAACGACAATTAATCAATCTCAATACTTGTCGTTTTGTGTACTTTTCGAAGCTCTATGCTCTTCACTTTTATTGGTGAGCTTTCGGCATATAATGCCTTCGTCAGACCTTAATTACTTACAATACATTGCTGCATACAATCAGTTACTATCAGTTACAAAACAAAACACATCGAATCATACCAAGTCAACCGGAAATATTGGGGGAAAGGGGGAATGGACCTGTCGGCGGGGATCTTGAAGGGAAAATGGCCGCTCTTGTTCTGAGGTGACTATGTGTTATCACGTAATCAGTCTCAGTAGGTCATGCAACTCCTCTTTCGCATTGATTTCCGGCTTGATGCGGTATATTTCCCGTGCCTCCATGATTTTCCTTTCCAGTGGCCGTACCAAATATCTGTGCAAAACCCTCACATCGAAGGATGGAGCGTTTTCTTTCTCATGCCTAAGTGTACGGTGCCTGGAAAAACTGCTGTGTGGATAGGCAGCGGGATTGGCCAACGCTCTTCTATGTTCATCCAGACGAATCTTCAGTGGTCTCGCGGTCTCCCCCACGTACTTTTCTCCACATCCTCCACATTGAATCAAATAGACAGTGCCCTGGAGTTCACAGATCTTCTCAGAAGTGCAGTATCGACAAGACTGTTCGCGACACCGTCTTTCATAAATTCGGGATGATGTCAGGAGATCCTTCAGTGTAGGGGGAGGTCGGAAAACAAGACGAATGGGAAGCTGGGAGTTTCTGAC